TTTATGTTTTGCGAGGGAAGGTGGTGGCCCCCGTTAGGGTTGGCACGAAGCGGGACAGGTACTGTAGATGCATGTTAATTGCTTATGTGGGTGCTTGCTAACAACGTGGTGAACAGAGACGAACGTCGACAGCAGCTACGGCAGCGTTTGGACGAAACTGAACGCATTAACGCTACATCAGCTGAGGAAGAATCACCGGCGTCTAAGCTACACCGTAAGAACCGAAGGAATCAGGCAAAGAACCGATGTAAGGCACGGAGTCGAGAACTCGACCTTCTAAGTCAGCAGGTGAATATCGTTTCGGTTGCCGATGGTTCCACCGTAACTTCTGGAGTACCGGCAGTACCTGTGACAACTGCTGTTGGATTGGCGGTAACTCCAACTATAAACACCTCCAGTGCTGCGAGTGAGAATGAGTGATGCAGAGAGAGCCCGGGCTCGACGAGCTAACATGAGCTCTTGCCAACGCGAACGCGCGCGACAGAGGAATGCAGAGAGACAGCGGTTACGTATGGCCCAACGAAGAGCTGAAGAAGTGAAAGCTGATCGGGAAAGGAGTCGCCTATCGCATCAGGCCCAGAGATTGCTGTGCACTCAAATTGCAAGAGAGCATGAGCGTGAACAGCAGGTCGCTAGACGATCTCAACAAACAGAGGCGCATCGTGCGGCTTTAAGAGAAAGAGACACTGAAGCCCGAGCCCGCCGTCGCTCGCAGCAGCCTGGTGATGAGCGGAACGCCGACCGAGAACGTCATACCAATGCTAGGGTAAAGCAGTCCGATGAGAGCCGCGACGCACAGCGAGAACATGACCGAGAGCGGCACGAAGACGGAAGGGCGCTGCAAACGGAAGAAGTACGTGAAGAAAAACGCGAGCGCGTTCGTGAACGCCGTCGAACCGCCCGCGACGCTCTTGCGAACCACGAAAACTTCCGCCCGTCAATGTTCACGGGTCCGGATGTAAATGAAGTGACCAGACGTCACAGGCTTCCCCTTACTACGGTGTGTGCCCACCGCAACGCGTGGAAGTGGCCTGGTGAAAGCAAGGTGGGCTGTTGTCTCGAGGGAAAAGTCAAACTACCACCTCTGGCTCCAGCGCCAGCAAAACTTCTTCAGCTTTATGGAGACCCTGAGTTTTGAAAGCACGTACGGGCGTACA